GTGGATGGTACAAAATAAAGTCTCATATGTGTAGTTTGAGATAACGTGGATGATTTCTATGTTAAATACACCATAAAATCCCCATTTCCTGCTTGTTAGAAGCAATTCTTAGCATTGCTCTCTCTTTTCCAACCTAGGCATTGTATGTACAGGGGTACAGGGGTTTGTCATCATTACCAGACTCTGGAACACAATGCTCAGGTTTTAGTCCTCATACACACTGTTTTTGGCTTATGGCATTTTTTTCTACAGGCAGTAAACTCCCCAGCATGTTATCCTATATGTCCACGCACACATAGGCTTTAATCAGCGTTTTTTGGCAGGGGCGTTTTTTTGGATTGAAGAACCAGAGAACTAGTGGGTTTCTAGAGGAAAGAGTCTCCAAAGCCTCCATAGAAGTCTATGGCAAAGCTAGCTAACAGCCCATGCAGCTTTTGACGGGCTTTTATTCAGCTTTAGCTTCACTTTGTTTTGGAGGTATTGCAGGTATGAGATATCCCAGGATGCACTGGGAAGCCAACAAGTGACCTGGAAAGACATAACCAGCAGTCACTATTGGTTCATGTGTATATATTCTGGGAATGCCTGGTGCAAATGTCACATTTGGTGTGCAGCGAGGAGCAGCAGGAAGGTGAGCGGGGTCCGGACCGTAGAGAAGCAACTAGCAGAGAGCACACGTGTTGTGCAACATCGGAAATGTTATAGCAGAAGGTGATCGGGGACTGGAGAGAGGACTGAGTGGCAGAGGATCAGCATAGCTGGGGGGGATCAAGGGGACCAGAGCAGGAGAAACTATCAATGTCACATGTAAGTGTGCAGCGTGGGAGCAATAGAGTGGGAGGTAAGCAGGGAGCAGAGAGAGGAGGATCAGCAAACCAGAGGATTAGCAGTGCTTAGGGTTAATATTGAGTGGGGATCAGAAGAGCTGGGGGTTACTACTGAGTGGGGGATCAGTAGAGATGGGGTACTACTGAGTTGAGGATCAGCAGTGCTGGGGGTTATTACTGAGTGGGTGATAAGCAGAGCTGTGGGTTATTACTGAGTGGGTGATAAGCAGAGCTGTGGGTTACTACTGAGTAGTGAAATCAGCAAAACTTGGGGTACTACTGAGTGGGTCAGCAACAGATCTGGGGGCACTACTGAGTAGTGGATCTACTGAACAGAGGGTACCAATAAGCTGGGGATCTGCTGAACAGAGGGTCCCAATGAGCGGGGGATCTGCTGAACAGAGGGTCCCAATGAGCTGGGGATCTGCTGAACAGAGGGTCCCAATGAGCTGGACATCTGCTGAACAGAGGGTCCCAATGAGCTGGGGATCTGCTGAACAGAGGGTCCCAATGAGCTGGACATCTGCTGAACAGAGGGTACAAATGAGCTGGGGATCTGCTGAGCAGAGGGTACAAATGAGCTGGGGATCTGCTGAGCAGAGGGTACCAATGAGCTGGGGATCTGCTGAGCAGAGGGTACCAATGAGCTAGGGATCTGCTGAGCAGAGGGTACCAATGAGCTGGGGATCTGCTGAACAGAGGTACTAATGAGCTGGGGATCTGCTGAACAGAGGTACTAATGAGCTGGGGATCTGCTGAACAGAGGTACTAATGAGCTGGGGATCTGCTGGACAGAGGTACTAATGAGCTGGGGATCTGCTGAACAGAGGTACTAATGAGCTGGACATCTGCTGAACAGAGGGTACAAATGAGCTGGGGATCTGCTGAGCAGAGGGTACAAATGAGCTGGGGATCTGCTGAGCAGAGGGTACCAATGAGCTGGGGATCTGCTGAGCAGAGGGTACCAATGAGCTAGGGATCTGCTGAGCAGAGGGTACCAATGAGCTGGGGATCTGCTGAACAGAGGTACTAATGAGCTGGGGATCTGCTGAACAGAGGTACTAATGAGCTGGGGATCTGCTGAACAGAGGTACTAATGAGCTGGGGATCTGCTGGACAGAGGTACTAATGAGCTGGGGATCTGCTGAACAGAGGTACTAATGAGCTGGGGATCTGCTGAATGAGGGTACTAATAAGCTGGGGATCTGCTGAATGAGGATACTAATGAGCTGGGGATCTGTTGAACAAGGGTACTACTGAGCTGGGGTTTTACTGAGTACCTTTGAAACAAATTACAAATCAACACACACATTGGTCATGTCATTAAAGCTTCAAAAACAAATCACAGAAGCATCCCTGAACCATCAAAAAAACTCATCAACAAAGCATGTTGAAGCAGTAGGCGCTTTAACGTGTGTTAAAGTCGAAGCAAGTGTAAATGAGCCCTTACTGGCCATATATCCTGCGTTTATTTTGCACGTATAACCTGTTATAAATCCTAGCTCTCAGAAAGGAAGTTTAACCTCTTCAAATTAACACTTTGCGCATGTATTTGTGAGAGTACGTGCATAAAAAACTGACCAGCGACTCAGATGTCTGTATTTTTTTTTCTTTTTTACTCATCTATACGCAGTGCATGCATACATGCCTGTGTGTATAGGCACATAGAAAAATGATCGATTTGCTTTCGAATCAATATCTTCCAATACAAGTAATTGATGTATCAGCCCGTTCAATCAAATCAATAATACGATCATAAGTTATCAGTTCGCATTTCTGTTTACACCATGTCATCTAATAATCTGATGGATCAAAATACGATAATATTCATGAACAAAGTATCAGTGCTGCCGATTGACGCAAAGCAATCGATTAATATTCCGGCCTGGCCGGTCAACTCGGCTTGCTTAACCCCTTCACGCCTAATGGTAAAACAAATGTTAATGCCTAAGCACAATTTTGCAACGTTGACATGTGTTAGTAAAACCATACATATCATCACAACTACTTTGTACATCCAGGTGAATTATACCTTGATTTCTTTAGGACAAATTGGGCTTTCATTTGGTGATAAATGTTAATGGATATCTCTTGATTTTTTTTTATTATCAAAGCAAAACTGGCCCGAAATAGTAAAAAAAAAATTTAGCTCTGTGTTTCTTGTTACTGGTTTTCATTCCAAAACGGAATGTTAAAAGCAAACATACATTTTGAAGTACTTTTGAATGACATTCATCAAGCCATCGAATGTACTGAGAATTTTTGTGTGAGTTATGAATGTTCATTTGAAAATATACTAGTGTATGGTCAGCTTAAAGGCTTGTTCACACTAGTAGTAAAACCCAGCAGTTGAGCTGCGTTATTACCACCCCGCCCCCCTTTGGCTGCAAAGGCAACAGCCTGGGGTAATAATTGACCCTCCCAGCAACAATAGATCCCACCAGCAACAAAAGACCCCCACAATAAAATGCCACCCAACACCAATAGATCCCTCCAGCAACAATAGACCCCACCAACAACAATACAGTCGATATCCCAGCAGTCAGCATCAATAGACCTTTCAGCAGCCAACAATAACAAACTCCCCCACAGCAATAATAGCCCCCGCAGTGACAACATATCTGCCAGCAAAATTTTACCATCTCAGTAACAATAGATCCATCCAGCAACAATAGATCCCCCACCAGCAACAGAGTAGATCTCCCTGGAGCCAGAAACAGACCCCCACAACAAGATACCCCCATCCCTTAACAGTATATCCCTCCAAGTAACAACTGACCCCCTAACATCCTAAGTCCCCCCCCCCTCTCTCCAACAACAATAAATCCCCCACCATCAACAATAGCCATCCCCAGCAACAATAGACCCCTTGCAAAAAATAGATCCCCCTAGCAACAATAGGTCCCTCAGCAGCCATTTATCAATAGACCCTCCAGCACACCCCTGCACCCCCACCGGGGGCGGACTGACAACTCATGGGGCCCCCGGGCAATAGGGGATCATGGAGCCCCTGTGTCCTTGCCCACACTCAAAAAAGCCTATGAAAAAGGTACCAGGGGCATCTCATGGGGCCCCCTACTGACCCCGGGCCCTTGGGCAGTGCCCGAGTTTCCAAATGGTCAGTCCGCCCCTGACCCCCACTGAAAAAAATCCCTGCACAGAATATACATTGCAAAACCCTATTTATTAGGTCATTCTGGTTTACAACTGGGGCACTTGTCCCCCCTTTACTGATCTTTGGTACACATACTTCACCCCCCCGGAAGCCTCCTAGACGCTAGGGCAGCTGTCGGTCATATCTTCCTCCCCTTCTGCAGGGAGAAGAAGTACTCAGAAAACTAATCTGCTTACTGCTGGCTGCTGATTATCAATTGGCAATGGCAAATTAGGAGCCAGCACCACGCAGTCCACGGCACATTCTTTTCTACCCTGCCTAGCCGCTGCTTTCAGAGCATTCAGGACAGCGAGATGTATTTAGCAATTAAAAAAGATGAAGACAGGGAGGGGAGGAAGCAGCCGGCTATCAGAGAAGGGAACAATATAGCGGCAGCATACTCTTACCTTTTCTTTATTTCCTCGTCGATCTATTCAGCTACCAGAATTAAAGAATATATATTTTTACAACTTTTTTAACCACTTCAAGTCCGGACACTTTTACCCCCTTCCAGTCCAGGCCAATTTTCAGCTTTCAGCTCTATCACACTTTGAATGACAATTGCGTGGTCATGCAACACTGTACCCATATGAATTTTTTAGCGTTTTTTTGAGACAGATAAAACTTTATTTTGATGGTATTTATTCACCACTGGGGTTTTTATTTTTTAAGTGTTTTCTTATAACATTTTGCAAATAAATAATCTTTCTTCTTAAATCTTGGCCAAAATTTATTCCATTATCTATTTAGTAAAAAAAGAATAACCCAAATTAGTTTATAACCAAAATTATAATTTAAAAATGTTTTTTTTACATTTTTATTTTATTTTCTTATATTATTATTTATGTTTTGTTTCTTTTAACATACTGTCACCCTAGCAATACAGTGTCACTATAGTGACACTGTACTACTTGTGGGAGGTGATGAAGATTTTTTTTTTTTACACTGATTGCTTTTATACCCATAAAGGCTGTAAAAGCAATAATTTCTATTTCTCTCTGGCGGCCATTGAGAAATACTGTGAGAGCTGTGATTGGTCACAGCTTGTCACATGGTACAAGGCTGTTGTGAATAGCCTTGTACCATGTGACCTCTCTGATCATTCACAGATTTCGCTAGTAGTAAGCAATGATGTCAGAAGTGACATCTTGTTTACTACTGTTCATGTGATCACTGATTGGGCAATCAGTGATCACATGATCGGGACCTCACACAGCTATCCGGAGGACACAGCGGGCACTGGATTGTGGTGCCATGCACTCCCAGGGAGCGCGCACAGGCTGAAAATGCAGGCACCGTTTATGAATGGCAACCCGCTCCTGCACTGCCACCGTCCGGCCGTTTATGTACATGGGCCGGACAGGGACTGGTTAAAGAAACTTAAAGCTGAACTCAAAATGAGATGTACTGCAAGGGTTAAATGCTCTTTTAGGATTAGGGTGCTGGAAAAAGCAATTTACTTATTTCTGCAGGCTTCCTACGCATGCTGCTAGACTGGTCCCCACAGCTCCTTCCCTATTCTCCAGTGGTTGAAGGTCCCATGATGTCATCAAGTACAATGTAGGGCCCATGGCCCATATTGGGCATGAGCGTGCTAAGCAGGTTCTTTACTAAAACTGAAGGGTGCAACTCTGCATGGAAACCAATCAGCTTCCAGGTTTTATAGCCAAAGCTTAATTGAACAAGCTGAGGTTAGGAGCTAATTGGCTACCATGCATAGCTGCACAAGATTCTGAGTGCTGCAGTTTTAGTAGATCTACCCCTTTTGGACAGTCCATCATCAGAGCATGGAGGAGAGTTTCAGCTGTCTGGCCTATTACTTTGATGGGCAACCTCACTTACCATTGTCAAAGTAGGAGGTGGTTGAGAGCTGTCATTCTTCACGTTGGTAGCTTTAGAATGCCAAATATTGCAGCTTTTTTTTTGTCCTGTGCCAGTCTACTAGATGCTAGAACCAGCATGCCAACACCCTATGGTGTCTCTGTTAAACCCACATTTCAGCTAAACCTAAAATGCTCATGGCTTTGAAGCTTGTTAAAGCTGCTTGTTTAGGGCTACAACCCAGCTCCCCCATTAAGATCTTAATTAATCACTCTGATGGTGGAGCTGAGGGGTGCCTTAAAGACTTTGAGGACGTTGCTTGAAACTTATCGAAGGCAAGCAATTGTGTTGTTTTAACTAGATATTAGTATAGTCACAGTATATTTCCTGTAGGGTCATAGCTGATCAGCTCCCCTATGTCCATGTATTCATTCAGATTTCTTGTCCCTATGCGCCAAAGGAACTGACTTCTTTTTCCAGGTCACACAGCATTCAGTGCATGCCCCGTCATCACAAATGTGGGATTGCTGATGTGATGAAACAATTCTCTTCCAGGAAGAGGGAGCTCTCTGTTAAAGAGGTAAAGACCTACTTACTAAGGGAAGATGGCTGTGACTACCTTGTGGCTTTGCAGGCTTTCCAATGCGCATGCGTGAGCCACACTGCACTGTTTGAATGGTCCCGCAGCTTTCTGGGACCTGTGGTGTGTTCCAAAAGGCTGAGGGGAAAGGGGGGGCAAACTTCCGCTCGGGTCACCTAGGTGATCCGGGTGGAAGTGGGAGCAGGTACCTGTCAAAACTAGGTAACTGCTCCCCCCAAAAAAACATAAAAGTTTACAAAAGTGGTAGAGGAGGTGGAAAAGTGGAACTTTCCCTTTTACGTGAAGTTCGGCTTAAATTTCTCTGTTTATTTGTGTCTGTGTCAGATCTAATTACTATGTAGCTCTCGCCTGCCGAGCAATAGAGAGAGGGACCCAGGGAAATGCAGGATGTGTAGGAGGTGTCAAATCTCAAACTACAGACAGAGGTCATGCATTAACCTGTGAAACATGTCTGAGACTTCCAGCAAAGGAATGTGAAGATTTATTCTACTATAGACTGTGCATACAGGGAAACAAATTATGCCATTATTATTATTATTATTATCATCATTACTATTATTATTATTATTATTCTTATCATTACTATTATTATACAGGATTTATATTGCACCAACAGTTTGTGCAGCACTTTACAATGTAAAGGAAGCAAGTACAGTTACAATGCAATAAAAGACAAGAGGCTTAAGAGGACCCTGCTCATAAGAGCTTACAATCTAATACGTCGAAACACGTGGTACAAAAGGTTATAACTGTGGGGGGTGAGCTGATGGAAGTGATAAAAGTTTGGTTGGTTGGAGGTGTGTGATAGGCTTCCCTGAAGAGATGAGTTTTCAGGGATCACCAAAAGGCAGCCAGAGCAGAAGGGAGTACAAGGGAGCTTGAGAGCAGGTTTTGGGAGGAGCAGAGAGACGGTTTGGGTGATATTTGTAGACAAGATTGGTGATGTAGCTCAGGGCAGAGTTGTGAATGACTTTGCATGCTGTCAGTATTTTTAATTCAATTTGCTGGGCAATCGGAAGCCTGCGGAGGGATTGGCAGACAGGGAGACAAGACACTGAGCGGTTGATAAGGTAGATGAGTCTGGCAGCTGCATTCATGATAGACTGAACAGGGGATAGCCCATGGAGAGGTAGGCCAATGAGAAGGGAGTTGCAAAAGTCAAGGTGAGAGATAACAAGGGAGTGAATGAGTAGCTTGGTGGTTTCATTACTTGAAGAGGGGCAAATTTTAGAGATGTTATGGAGGTAAAGTCTATAAGCTTTTGATAGCGATAGGATTTGGGGCAGTTCAGAGTCTAGGAGTATTCCTAGTACCCTGGCGTGAGGGGAGGGACTGATGGGTATATTATTAATCTTGATGGAAAATTCATGGATGATGGGACGACCGGGGGGTTGGTAATATTATCAGCTTGGTTTTAGAAAGATTTAGTTTAGGGAAGTGTCTGTGTGTTTTTGTTACCACTCTTAATCATTAATGAAAACTGTATCTGGTGCGTAATATTTAAAAAAGATATGTACATAAATCAGATAACCTTCATGCAGTAGGTAGCAGCAGCTGTGCCAAGTCTACCAGCGATAATATCAAATACTAATACAATGCGCAATGCAGTCTAGTTGCAGACATTATTAATTTCCCTTTCAGTGCCTTACTCATAGAAAATAGCAATTTAGTACGTGTTTGTGTATTTGCTGGAATGATATCTGTGCATGGATTAGTCAGAGTATAACCAACATACACTCAATCATAGGATAAATGTCTAAAGTGACTAGAAATATACTAAGATATGCATATACAGTTAGCCATATATGACATGCAAATAATTCTTACACTGAGATGTAACGTGGTTTTGAAGGATGTGCTCCAATGCTATGGGGAGATAAAATGGGTCTAGAGCAGTGGTCACTAAATGGCGGACCGCGGTTTGGAAGGACTGAAGGACAGTCCCGTCTGAACCGCAGACATGCCACCGCTGGGTACCCTCCCTCAGGACCGCCAGGTTTAAGATGACCGGGCCACTCAGCAGGAGGTAAGCGACGACCACGGTCTTGGCGGAGCTAATACAGACCGCGGCCGCCGCTCACCTCCCGCTGTGTGGCTATGCCTAAAGCAGGGTTGACAGGAGGAGTGGAAGTGACGGCTCCAGTAACAAGCAGGAAGCGGCACTGACATAGGGACAATTCCTCGGCCGGCCGATGCACTGAAGGGACAATGGCGGCCTTTCCTCTTCACCCGCCAGCACACTGTGACAGGTCTGTAGCGGCGGTGGATGGGGCTGTCTCTTTGTTGAATGGCTGTCTCTTTGCTGGACGGGCTGTCTCTGCTGGACTGGGCTGTCTCTTTGCTGGACTGGGCTGTCTCTTTGTGCAGTTGGGTCCAGTAAAGAGACATCCTCATCCAGCAAAGAGACATCCCAATCCAGCAAAGAGACAGCCCAGTCCAAGAAGGGACATCCTCATCCAGCAAGGAGACATCCCTTCTTTGCTATGTATTTGCTGTGTTGTTAGGGATGCTGTGTTGTGTTAGGCTAGCTATGTTGTGTTAGGGGCACTGTATTTTGTTAAGGGGTGCTGTGTTATGTTAAGGGGCGCTGTGTTGTGTTAAGCGTGCTGTGTTGTGTTAGGAGACACTGTGTTTTGTTAAGGAGCGCTGTGATGTAAAGGGGGGCCCGTGATGTGAAGGGAAAAGAGGACACTTCTTTAAAGAGGGGACTGTGATGTAGAGGGGACTACAGTGTGAAAGGTATGCTAAATATCATAAGGTACCGGGGGACTGTGATGTGTTATATCGCTAACGAGGTTCGGACCTCTGCTGGAAGAAAATTTTGCTGACCGGACCTCCATAAATTTTAATTCAAGACCCCTGGTCTAGAATCTTTCCCAATACAGAGCTATCCAAATATCACACCATAATTCTCTACAGTGTGGTACACCAGACTCTTCCTAGATTTGCCTTAGCTCCACATGCCATTGGAGTGCATTGTTCAGACTACATAATCTATTCGTTTGTATTTTATTGTTCAGACAGGATTGGAGGGACTCTATATGCTGTGTTTGTTGTGATTGTAACTCTTTCAAAGTGACTGCTTTTGCCCAGAGTATAGCCAAATTGATGTAATAGAGATGTTATGGGTTTCCTGTTAGCTTCCTTTCTTGGTTGGGTGGATACAGATCGTTTCCCTAGTGATGGTTTCTGATTGATGGCTTTTTGCATGGATTTAAGGCATCATTGCATCCTGGTTGTGGTTCCTTCACGCGTGACCTCTTCATGTATGGGAAAATGGAAAGCTAAGAAGGAGTAAGGAGGGCCAGGAAAATGAGCTTCTGTTGTGGAGACTTTTGAGTTGTCCAATCTGGTGAGATGGAGACCAAATGTATACTGTAAGCAGGAATTCATTCATAGTAGTCACATGTGTAGGAGTATGGACTACAATGAAGTCCTGATATGCTTTTTCTGACTGTTTTTAAAACTTGTAAAATATTTTTTCTTTAAGAAATCTGTATGATAAAAGATAATAAGCACAATTATTTCTTCTTCATATAAATCTTTAATTACCATAACAATAAGGGCTACCAAAATGGTACCTTAAAGCCCGATTTATGATAATACAAATGTAGGCAAAAACATTTAATAGATTGTAAAACAAGCTTAAAACCCCTTGGCTCCGACGTCACGCAAATATGTGGCTTCACAGAACTGGGCTTTTTTCCGTGGGGCTGCATATTTGCGTACCTAACATACATTAAATAGTGAAGCGCTCCCAAATTATCTAAAACAATTCCCACTGTGTATAACTAAATTACCAATTGAACTTAAAATGATCAATATTGTACGGTGATAAAAAACTTAAAATACATAAACACCTCTCATATATATCAATTACTTTTGCCTTTTGAAAAAACTGTGATAAAAAACCATAATAAATCCTCAAATATCAGTGATACATCACTTAACA